GGTGCTGCGCGAGGCGGTGGAGGCCGTGGTCAGGAGCTTCGCCAAGCACACGCAGGGCTATGGCCGAGGTGAGTCTGAGGGTCTGGCCTCCTGCGGACACCGTCTGAAAAGGAGCCTGGCTCCCACAAGTCCTCCATCGCTTTTCCTGGCGTGCAGCCCTCACATGCATTTCCTTTTGGGGAGTTTTCTTTCTGGACTGCACACACGCACAGACGCACACACTCATACGCACTCATACACGTTTAAGCGTCCCCGTCCCCTCCCCTTTACTGAGTTATTCATACATTCTCCAGGGATTCTTTTTTTTTTTTTTTTCCAGATACAATCTCTTTTCTTCCAACCTATGTCAGAAATGGAATTCACGTAGCTGAATGTTGTAGCATCTCTTTACCTTTGAGAACTGGTCCCTATTGTGTGCGATCCTGCCATTTCTCAGATTCAAGACATTTCTCATCATGCCCTCTCAATCTTTCCTTTCTGATCTCAGCAATTCCTAGACTCCTCTTTTAAGTTTCTCCATCTCCTTAATCTTGACTTTTAAATTCTTTACTTATCTTCTTTAATATTTTCAGTGCAGCTTCAGATCTGCTAGGGAATTAGTGCCTACCCAGGTCACTCATAGCTGTGACCAAAACTGGGCCCATACCGTTGAGTCCACACTGACTTCCTGTGACTCAGTACCTTACTTTGGTGTCTTTTTAGTATGGAGCCTCACAACTCCAGTCTCTGTCTATCTGGCTCTGTTTTCCTGGCCCCTACCCAGAAACTTAGGAGAAATACCAGGCCTTGGCTCTCTCAATGTTAAAATTCTGTGGAAATGAGCCAGGTAGAAACCCTATTTCAGTTAGAAATCTTCAGTTTAAAAATGCCTAATTTCTGGGAAGGGGAATGTGAGGGTGTTTTTTTTTTTTTTTTTTTTTTTTGTTTAAACAGTGTAGAATTTCCTGTCTGAGTTCTAGTTCCAGATTTACAGTTTATGTAACAAGGAATATATAGTGAAGGGTGTGGAATTTAGAATTTAAGTCTAGAATTTCCAAGACATCACTTCTGTTCTGCTTGATCCAGAAGTAACTATATCTTTTAACTTCCTATTTAATGCAGAGAAAAGTTGCAGATCTTTCTCTATAAACAGTATTTTTTTTTTTTTTTAGAAAGTGTCATGGAAAAGCTTGAGAGATCTCTGTCATGTGCCCCATCTGTCTTTCAGGAAGGGACTTAGTCTCATGGAGCTTCAGCTTCCTCAAGGATTATAATGTGTGTTGAGATATTGCAATTGACATCTGAGTACTTTTAAATTATTAGGATCTCAGTCTTTTGGTTCCTATTTCCCTAAGAAGGACACGTCTCATTTTCTCCACTCTTAAGTTCTGATGGTGTAAATCCAAAGATTCCAATAATTACAGATTTACAGATCTATTTTGCTGTGTATACCTACTGATTACATTAGTTTCCCTTCAATATTTTTCTTCTATCTTTTATTCTTGAGACAAAGTCTTGCTGAATCACTTAGTTGCCTAGGTTGGGCTTGAATTTGTGAGCTTTCTGCTTCAGCCTCCTGGATGCTGGAGTGCTTGGATTACAGGGGTGCACTACAAGGTATGGCTTTTCCTTCATTCTGCAGTTTAAATTCTTAGAGGCACTCTTCAGGGTGCTGGGGATACAAATGGGTATGATTTTGAAATTCATCATGAGCAAATATAGTTATTTGCCAGTTTAATTCAAAGATGTAACAAGGCTACTGATGGCCTATGCATCAGCCTCAAGCACCTTTAAGTCAAGACCAAGGGAAAGTCTTTGCCTGTGGACATAGTGGTAGCTAGAGGTGGTTACCCTAAATCTGAATTCTTTCTCTTGGAGGCTTATAGACATTTATTGAAGTTATAGAGGAATACTCTTTTGCTTGTCTATGTTAACCTGGAAAGCCTCTGGTTTGGCTTCTAAACTAGGTACTTTGGAAAAAAAAATTTAATTTCCTTAGAAAGGATGAAGGAACAAAAGGACTGTGCTGACAAAGAGCGATCAGTCTGCCTTCAGATGCTGTGTTTCTCTCCTATAACCTCCCCACCTCCCACCACAGTGCTCATTATTCTTGAGTTTCTCATTTCCAGTCTGGGTGTCCAGCCAGTACTGTAAGAGAGTTTGGCAGATAGTCCCGCTTCAGGCAAGCAGAATCTCTGCTGATTTGGCTCAGAAGTTCTTCACCACATGGAACCACTTATTCTGCTTCAACTAATAGGCAAAGCTGCCACTGGCGTGCACCCATATACTCACGACTGATGGCATGGTGTTTGGGGGATGGCTCTTTTCTCTTGAATATAATTTACTTTGGTCTTTGTCCAGATCATTCCCTGATAAAGCAATGCCTTACACATAATGTTCCATTCACATCCTTCATCTTCTTCCTGACTACTTCAGATTTACATTTTCCAGTACAGCCTTTAGGTTTACCTTTACATGTGTTGCAAAAAACAAAATGAAACAAAACAAGATACCACTTCTATTCTTTCACCTGTTTGTCGTTTATCTCTCCCTCCCCCACTGCCCAGGAGACATAGAGCTCAGTATGCCTTTGGATCTTAATCAGTTTGCACTGCATAGGATTTGGAACCAGCAGATCTAATCAAAAGTGGTTGTGTGATCTTGCAGAAATTAGTGAATCTGCCTATGCCTCATATGTTCCATTTATTCATTTAACAAATATTTATTGATTGCCAGATGTAGTGGTAAACAAGGCAGATATTTAGTTCCTGTTTGATGGCGCTCACAGTCTGTCTTACAGAGCGTGTGAGGATTAATGGTTCAGCAAAGTAGAATAATACAATAGAAAGAGGTTTAGCTTTGGATCCAAATGAAGATTGTTTTGAAATCCTTGTTCTGCCACTTCTGGCTTGTTCCTCAATTGTTTACTTTTTATAAAATGAGTATTACCGTACCTTTCTTCTTCCTTTTTTTTTTGTTTGTTTTTTTTGTTTTTTGTTTTTTGAGACAGATTCTCTCTATGTAGTTGAGACTGACCTGGAACTCAACGTGCAGCCCAGGCTGATCTCGAACTCACAACAATCCTCCTGCCTTAGCCTCCTGAGTGCTGAGATTACAGGCATGCGACACCATGCCCTGCTATAGTACCTTTCTTGATAGTTTTGTGTGGATTAAATAAGATAAAGCATGCAGCTCATAGTACTCAATGAGTTGTTGCTATTATACATTTGGGTGTATGTTGAAAACTGTACATATAATAGATACTGTTAATATTGCCATTTCTTCTGCCAGTTCTTCCCACACAGTCCCTTCTCATGTTTGCTATCTGGCAATCCCTAAACTGGTGTGACTGAGCAAGTCTCTTTCCTTGCTTTGTAACTGATAACATTTCCCTCTTCAAACCTGTTTTTTAATTTTTGCTCTCCTTTGATGTCACAGTATAGCTATGTGATTGGAGGTTCTACCCAGCTACTCCAGTAGGTTGAATAAATGAATCTTGCATAATATTTTGTTTAATTATTCCTTTTCCTTGCAAGCACAGGTTTTTTCCCTATAATTGATTGGAGGTAATCTAATTGGTCTGAATATTTCCAATTTTTAGAAATGTTGGCTTAATCTTCATATTACTTTACTGTGGGTACTATAATGAATTATCATACATTTGACATCTTAAAACAACAGGAGTGTTGGGGATTTAGCTCAGTGGTGCTGTGCGAGCCTCACAAGCAGGTCCTGAGTTTGATCCCTGTTACTGCAAAACAAAACAAAATAAAACCCCAGAACAGGATTTTATGGTCCCACAGTTCTGAAAGCTAGAAGCCTGAAACCAGTATCACTGGGCTAAAAATCAAGGTATTGGCAGGGCCGGGCTCCCTCCAGAAACTTTAGGGGAGGATCTGTTCCTTGATGCTTGCATTGCTTGGCTTGTGACAGCATCTTTCTAATCTCTTCCTGTGAGGTAGAAGTCTTTGCCTTTGCCTTGCGCCTTATCAAATCTGAGCTCCCTCCCTTAGGGATAACCTAGGGTAATTTCCCTGTCTCAGATTCCTTAATTTAAACACAACCTTAATGTCTTTGTCAAATCAGGTAAAACTGACAAATTCCAAGGATAAGATATGGACATCTAGGCAGGGGTCATGATTCAGTTTGCCATTGTCCCCTGCCAAAGTCACTGTTACTTCACAACCCTCTCTTCCAAAGAGAATGGTGCACTGTAGGCTCTTCATGGGGGCCTTCAAGAAACTGACAACATATCAGGTAAAATATTGTTAACCAGTTTCTGTTTTTCATGATAACTTTAATTAAGCTGCTTCAGCCTATTCTAAGAACCCTATGTGATCAGAGAGAACTTTTTTTAAAAATTAAGTTTATTGGTACGATCTAGATATACAATACAGTTACATTCATCATTGGGATCTTGTACCTTTATAAAATAGGTCTTAATTCTCATTTTTCCCCCTTGTCCCTGCCCTCCTTTCACCCCCTCCTCCCCTCCCCATTTACAAACACTTTATTTCCATTTTTTCAGTTTCTCATATTTTTTTCCTCTCTCTTATTACCTTTCCCCCACCCTTCCCACTTTCCCTACACCTTTAGCCCTTTACTTCCTATTTCACATTATTAATTATCTC